AATAATTTTTATTATAAAAATATTTATTATAAAGAGAGAGATATATATATAAAGAGATTTATTATAATGAATTGGCTCACATGAATATGGAGATTGTCTCTGTGACATTCCAAAATCTGTGACCAGCAAGCTAGAGACCCAGAAAAAAACAAATGTTTCAGCTCAATTCTGAAGGCAGGAAAAAAGTGATGTCCCAGGTCAAATAGTCAGGCAGGGAGAATTCCTTCTTACTCATGAGAGGATCAGTCTTTTTGTTGTATTCAGACCTTCAACGGGTTGGATGAGGCCCACCTGAATGAGGGAGGGCAGTCTTCTTTATCCCGTCTACCAACCGCACATGTTAATCTCATCTGAAAGCACACTCACAGATACCTTCGGAAGTAGTATGACCAAACATCTGGGCACCCTGTGGCCCAGTCAGGATGACACATAGACCTAACCATCACAGTGACCCAGGGGCATTATCTCTCCACGTCCTGCTAATGGCCACCCGTGGGCGCTGAAAAGTCTGGTGGGTGCTGAGGCATTTGAGATGGGACCCAGGCTGTGTGCATGAGACTGTTCGTGGTTGCTGTGCTGAATCACATGTGCCCAGGGGAGGCAGCCCAGACACGGAAAGCACATGCCCCAGGCTCCTGAGTTTCTGGCTTGGGCACCTGCTGGGATGGGGAGCCTAGGAAGAGGAGTAGGGTCAGGGGACGGTGCTCAGTCCAGTCAGCACTGGGTGGGGTTTGCATATCCAGGCAGGTTGATCTGGGGGCATGGCTGAGGCTCCGGAAGCCACCAGAGCAGGTGACCCTTGTGGCCTCGGTAGAGACAGCTGCAGTGGGGTGGAGGGGAGAGGGCAGCATCTAACTGGGGGAGGGGGCAGATGTGGCAAAGTGGAGGCAACTCCTTCGAGGAGGAGAATCATAAGACGGAGGCTGAGGGAGCCTTAGAGTAAAAGGAAGTTAGATAAATGGATAAGGAAGATGTGGCTGGAATATTACACAGCCATGAAAAAGGAGGAGCGCGTGCCATTTGTGACAACACGGTTGGACCTGGAGGGTATTGTGCTGAGTGAAATGAGTCAGACAGAGAAAGACAAGTACCATATGATTTTCCTCGCATGTGGAAGGTAAAAAAATGAAACAAATTAATAAAGAAACAAAAAGCAGAATCAGACCTATAAATATGGAGAACAAACTGATGGCTACGGGAGGGAAGGGGAGTAGGGAGGGGTAAAAAAGGGTCAAAGTGGGGTGGGAGACATAGGCTTCCAGTTGTGGAATGAATAAGTCACAGGGATAAAAGTCACAGCATAGGCAATACAGTCAATGACATTGTGATGGGGATGTATGGTGACAGAAGGTAGCTGTACTTGTGGTGAGCACAGCATAATGAATAGAGATGTGGAATCACTATGTTGTACACCTGAAACTAATGTAATGTGTATCGACTATACTCAATAAAAAAATATTTTCAAAAGGGACTTCTTAAAAACAAGATTATTCCATCAGTCAGTCAACAAACATTACCGAGTGCCTCATGTGTGATAGTCCCTGAGGGCATAGCTGTTACCAACACAGACTCGGAGAGTATGACCTTGGAGAGTAAACATGTAATTAAAAATAAATAAATTTTGGGGTGCCTGGGTGGCTCAGATGGTTGAGTGTCCAACTTGGGCTCAGGTCATGATCTCACAGTTTGTGAGTTGGAGCCCCGTGTCGGGCTTTGTGCAGATAGCTCGGAGCCTGGAGCCTGCTTCAGATTCTGTGTCTCCCTCTCTCTCTGCCCCTCTCCTGCTCACACTTAGTCTCTCCCTCTCAAAAATAAACATTAAAAAATATTTTAAAAAAGAAAAATAAAGAATTTTAGATACGGATAAGATGCATGAAAAAATACATCAGGACAATGTGACAGAGAGTGACAGGGCTACTTTAGCTGGACTGGTCAGGGAAAGTCTCTCTAAGGAGGTGACAGCAGCACTGACTGTGAGTGGTGACAAAGACCCAGTTGGGCAGAGAACTGGAGGAGGGTGTGCCAGTGCAAAGGCCCTGGGGCAGGTGTTCAAGGGAGAGGGAAGACGCCATGTCCTGTAGAGCCAGTGGGGAGAATGAGACTGGGACACCGCTGGGGCACGGCCTGCAGGCCATGGGAAGCTCTTGGAGCTTTTGAAGCCGGGAATGTAAATCTGATTTATATTTTTTAAAGGTCACTCTGTCTCTCGTGGAAAGAATAGACCCAAGGAAGGCAAGAGGAAGGCAAGGAGGCCAGTGAGGAGGCCCTGTGGTTGTTCAAGCTGGGGATAGTGGGAGAGAGTTGAGCAAAACCAGGTTTGCAGGGACAGGCCTGTCCGGATCTTCGGTTATAATCACTTTAGGATTAAAATGATACACAGCAGGACGAGATTGCCATTTGTAAGATTATTGTACCACAGTATGATGTAATATGTTGTATTAAACAGAGCAGGAACTTGATAATTGCCTAGCAGCAGTTCACAGGTATTGTATTCTATCAGATGTGTGTTGTTAGCAGGTGTTATACCTGTTTAAGAGGAGTGTATCAATTAATTAGCTGTTGTGATTGGGTCATGGAAAACATACCTTTAACAGAGGTTGACTTTTCAAGGATTCGCTGGTGACTATAGTGGAGTTTTCAGAGTGGGGGCGCTTTCCCGGGCAGAAGTAAAAAGCCAGGGTTGGTGGGGAAAGACCAGTTCCTGGGGCCACTAGTCCTGACCGTCCTGACCCTCACCAAGTGGCCCCAGAGGACTGATTTTTTTTTTTTAATTTTTTTTCAATGTTTATTTATTTTTGGGACAGAGAGAGAGACAGAGCATGAACGGGGGAGGGGCAGAGAGAGAGGGGGACACAGAATCGGAAACAGGCTCCAGGCTCCGAGCCACCAGCCCAGAGCCCGACGCGGGGCTCGAACTCACGGACCGCGAGATCGTGACCTGGCTGAAGTCGGACGCTTAACCGACTGCGCCACCTAGGTGCCCCTCCCAGAGGACTGATTTGAAAGGAGAGTATAAGCTGGTCTGCAGCTGGCCTGGAGAGCAAGGCTGTCCCCTCACCTTGTGCCCATGCGCAGGGGCGGGGGTGGGGGGGTGGGGGGGAGGAAGGTGGCAAGGCCAGGGTGCCAGAGACCAGCTCCCCAGAAGGATGGGAATATTGTGCAATACACTGGCGGCCCGAGGCAAGCTTTTGGAGTGTGCCATTTATTCTCTGGATTTGGGGGTTTGTGCATTCATGCAAGTTCAGCATGAGATAACTCAGTGTGAAGAGGCCAGACCACTGCCCCTTGCCTGACTCTGGACCTCTTACGGCAGGTTTCCTGCCGCCCGCCGCGAGCGATGGAGTCAGTCAAACTGAAGAGAAGTCTCCGCTCTACCTTCGTGAGCCTCAGTTTCTTCAGCTGCCAAATGGGAGTGACCGCTGACCGCGTGGAGGTAAGGGTGGGGAGGGTGCACCATTTTGGATGAAGCTTGAAGATGTGCTGGACTAAATGAAGGCAGCCAGGCGTAGAAGGACAAATGTATGATTCCACTTATATGAAGTCCCTAGAACAGGCAAATCCACAGAGAGTAGACTAGAGCACAAGAGTTTCTGTTGGGATGATAGAAAGTGTTCCGAGATGGGTAGTGGTAGTGTTTGCACAACAATGTGAATGTCCTTACTTCATGCCACTGCACCCTACACTTAGAAATGGCTAAAATGATACATTTTATGTTATGTGTATTTTACCGCAACAATTAAACAGAATAGCACCTTCTGATGAAACTGAATGGGGCTCCTGGGGCTGCTGTGGGCTTGGGGAAGAGGAAGACTCCCCGTGGATAATTTTGAGAACAGATGTCAATGGAAGCAGAACCACACCCCCCGTAGTCCTAAATTATCTGTGAATGTTTTCTTCATAAGGTTTTATATCATTTTATACGTGGGTTTTGTGATAGCTGTTGCTTAATGTCATTTCATGAACGTTTTCTCCTATCTCCAGAAACTCTTCATACAAAGCATTGCAGTTGCCCTTACTATTCTATCCAGTGCTGTAATGCACTTGACCCATCCCAAACGCTAGATATTTAAGTTCTTCACAGTTTTTCACATTATAAACCACACTGTGGTCGACATCTTTGTACATCAGTCTGTCTACACCCTGATCATTTCCCTGGTGTAGATTTGTAGAAGTAAGTATACTGTTAGAGGTTGCCCCATGGCAGCAGGTGGATTCCCAGAAAAGGCTGTACCTTTGTCACCTCTGTCCATGCCCAGCCCACTTCTGGTGTCCCAGCACTGCTATTTCCACGTGGGGAAATGGGAAATGGGTTATCTTGACTTTATATGCATCACTCCTGAGAGAGGTGCTGCCAGTCCCTATAGTGGCCGTCACTAAGCTCCGGGGACACCAAGCTCAGTAAGTAATGACCGTGAAGGTAGGATTGAGGAGAGGGGGCAGATGTGAGAGACCATCCCCAAGCAGAACCACAGCCAGCCCTCCAGCCCTGCTTCCCATGAGGTTGACAGAGGGAATGTCTGCTGTCCAGCAAGTGTCATTTTTTAAAACATATTTTATTTATGTTTGGGAGAGCACCAGTTGGGGGAGGGGTAGAGAGAGGGGAACAGAGGATCCCAAGCAGGCTCTGCGCTGACAGGCTGACAGCAGCGAGCCCGACATGGGGTTCGAACTCATGAACTGCAAGATCATGACCTGAGCCAAAGTGGGACGCTCAACCAACTGAGCCACCCAGCTGCCCCAGCAAGTGTCATCTCTGCCTAGTGCCTTGTGGTTCCTAAGGATGCAAAGGGGGACAGATTCTTCAGGGGTGTGGAAGAGGGGCAGACGCAGATTTGGAGAGCGGGCATGACCACCCCTTCCCTCAGCTCTTTTGGAGGTGGTGGTGCGACCCCGCCTGAGATGGGATGAGGTGCCACCTGGTCACTACCTCCAGCTGGCTCTGGGCCCCCCTCTGCCACTTCCCTCCATGTGGCCTCAGCCACATGTCTGAACCTCAGTGTGCCTGTTTCCCCATCAGTGATATGGGGCTAATGCTTATTTCCGGGGGTTGCGGCAAGGGTTAAGCTTATGGATGTCGAAGCTCCAGGCCTAGACTGTTGGGACTAAGCTGCACAGAAGGTGCTGGCCACTGGTCCTCTTTCCGTCACTCCCAGGACAAGCAGACCTTCCTTCTCCAGTAGGGCTGGGGAGGCCCTTTGTCCCCCGTCATCAGCAGAGTGGGCATAGGATGGTGTCTGCAGTGCCCACTTGGGGAGGGCACTGAAGCTCATTTCTGAGATGGTCTGGAGAGCTCTGCTACCCTGTCCCTGAGCTGCGGCCCCTGCAGCCCACCCAGCTGTCAGCTCTGCAGAGTCCCCACTGCGTTTGAGGCCTTCACTTGCCTGGCGATCGTTTTTCGCAAGTAGACCCTCATCCTTAATATATTCGGCAGACATCTGATAATTGTGATAACCCTGACGGGTGGTGAGCAGGGCAAATTAGCTAAAAGATGATTGATTTTTTTTATGCGCAATTTTATCTTCGACCTTTCCTAGCAACGTGCGATACCAGAGTAATAATTTCTTCTCCCAGGTATTTGCCAGTATCGAGATTGCACATCTATTTACGGTTGCCTGGAAGCCCCATAATTACAATACAGTCCAAGTGCCCATTTTCTTTCCTTGACTACAAATAGGGATCAATCGAATTTTAAATGACTGCTCCGGGGCTCGCTCCCGATCGTGACCTTTGTAAATGATTAGAGCTCACCACTGTTGCTGTCTGCCCAGAAAGAGCGAGTGGGCAGAGCTTTCTAACTGGCATTTAACCTGGACGTGGGCCAAAGATATTCCAGGTGAAAACTGGCCAGGAGCTGCCTGTAGAGAAAGGTCGTGTAGACTTTCTGCCCTGGGGACACTTCCTGTGTGTCCCCTCACACCCGCTCTCGTTTGTCTAAGTCCTGGCTTCTGCGGATGTCTGTTTGCTTCAGAGCCTGTTGACACAGCTTCCCCCAGCACATCCTCCTGGGCTGAATTCAGCATATCCCCGGAAGTTTTAGACCTGTAGATAAAAATTGTTATTTGTCGGAAAGAAGTTTCTTTTTTCCTCCTTTCCTTTCCTTTCCTTTCCTTTCCTTTCCTTTCCTTTCCTTTCCTTCCTTCCTTTTTTTTTTTTTTTTTTTTTAAAAACATTTTCTCTCAAACACTAAGCTTTTGATCGTGAAGCCTGAGAAAGCCACAGAGTAAAGCGTTCTTCCTGAGGAGGCCGGGGCAAGCCTTGCCTGGAGCTTCCATTTAATGCCCAAGTCATCCTCAGAGTCCGGGGTCACTGAATCAGAAGTCAGCTGTGGCGTGTTTAAGCCACCCTGAGGCCCCTGGAGCTGCTTGGGGACTGAAGGCCAGCCATAAAGCCCCCCAGGACCTCAGGCCTCCCGCACTTCAGGGGTGAGCAGTCCATCCAGAAGACTGTTCCACCCACCCTCTTGATGGCAATGAAAGGCTGCTGGAGATGGTGAGAAGGTGTCGTCCTCTTTGCCTCTTGAACCGTTGCTATTAGGAGTGACCTTTGTCTGTGGTCAGGGTGCTGACTGTGTCACTGAGGTTACTCTTGTCGGCCTTTCCGGGATCTTATTCTAGGCAGCAGAGACATGTTTCCTTCCGGGCAGTCGTCTTCAGGCTGTCGGCCACTAACACTGTCTTGGGTTTCTTTGAGAATCCCTTAGCCCAGGCTTGGAGCCCACTGGTTCTCTCTTACACCCTCCTTCTCCTCTCTGGCCAGGCCAGTCTCACTGGGGCTGACCCTCCTGGGCACCAGTGCATCAGCTGCCACCATATGATGGCCCAGAACCCCCCATCACCACCCCTGCTCTTCCCTTGTCCATGTCCGTCCAGCCCCACCTCTGTGCTGGCTCCCCTGAGCCTTCCAGACAGCAGGGATGGTACCTGCTCAGGGCTCAGCACCTAGCCTGTCCCCGCACTGCTGAGCCCCTGAGCGTATCTTTATAGACACTGTGGCTCCTCCTCGTCCACTCCCCTACCGACCTACAAGAGTTCTCCTTGGCTCTTAGACACCTGGCGTCCCAGGACTAGAGGAGGAAACCTGGTGAGGGGATAAGCCAATCTGTGCTGGCAAATCAGGCTTGTTCCCATGGCTGGCCTGCTGTCTCTCTGTGGCTCAACCGCTAACAGAATTCTTAACGAAAGCACCAATGTTCCCAGAAGCGAAAGCCGTCATCAAGAGTTTACGATTTAAATCACATGAAGAGTGTGAAGCAAACCACTGTTTTGGCCTGCCGTGGAAGTCTCTGGAAGGTGCTGCTGAGGCGGTGCCCCCCCCCCATGGGTCACAAGTACACGTGGGTTGAGAGTCTTACAGTAACTTGGAAAGGGAATTTGGAGGATGACTCTGTTTGCCACAGATGCAGAAACAGGAGCTGGTTCCACTGCAGCAAAGGCGAACGACCGAACAGCATCGTCCACCCTTGAAAAGCCATGAGCTGAAGTCACCTGAGCCCTTTCTCCAGGTGGAGGTGCGTGCGCACATGTGAACACACGATTTCTTCCAGGCCCATGCCTAAGCATCATGTTTGTCCTCTGAAATGTGGTGAAAACCAAGCACGTGTTTCCTTTGTCCTCTCCCTTTATTTCTAGAACAAGAGACTGTAATCTCAGAGGTTAGACCTTTCTGGTTGTCATAGTTGGTTTTAAAGGACAAATTCTAGCAGGCCCCGGGAATGTGAGCACGGCATATTTCAAGATCTCTCAGTTATGGTACATTCAAGGATTACAGTTTGAAGCAATTGATTTAATTCCCAAACATCATGTCGAGCGGGAAGCATCCCATGCATTGTGTGTGCTGTCTGGGTGGGCTCTAGAATGTGTCCCTGGGCCCAGCAGCAGAATGGAACCCGGAGCCAGAATCCAGGGAACCGGTGTTCCCGAGCCCCTGACATCATCCGGCACGAGTCCCGTGCACAGTGTGAGCCGGTAAATCTTGACTGGGAGGACGTCTCTTCTGCACCTTTGTTTGCAGTTACCTTTTTGTTCACTCCCTGAAGAGCAGCGACTTTGCCGGTTTGAGTATGGTTTACTTTCCCACTCTTAACATGTGTACATGTAAGTGTTTTCGAAGATGCTTACATTAGTGTCATGTTTTGCGAATGGTATGTAACAGTAGCATTTAGGTGAGAAGCTTTCGTGCAAAATCTCTTGCTCCCGTGAATGAAGGAAGTGCACGGTAGTCACAGCAAGGTATGGTAATTGATCCCACCACAGGCAGATTGTATCTGTTGCATTTCTCCTTTGTCTTGGCGCATACAGTATTCTGATGAGAATAACGGCCTGCGTTTTGAAAGCGAGGACTTTGCACTTTTTAAACTCGCTGTTTAGCCTCCGTGGTAATGTCATTTTTGCAGAGTTCTGCTTATCCTACAGACACCCAGAAAACCCA